TACCACACCATTTTGCAATTGCAGGGTTTACTCTGAGCCCTGGAAACACACCTGGGGAAGAGGTAACGCTTTTCTAGGCTGCTTCTCCATGCTTCAGACACTGGAGATGTTTTTAAAATAGAAACTACATTTGTCCTGAAATTACCTGATGCCAGAAATCAAAGTTTTTTAAAGAAAAGCACCAAAACAGCATGAGAAAAAAATAACACAAGACAGCAATGCTGACTTAAATACACTCCATGCCCTTAAAATGTCATGGATACAGTGAGTACCTGCCCTGCAGACTCCCCCAGCGTATTTTCTGTTTATTAAGGATGGAGCCCAAGTCACACCCCAGTCCTTCAATTACAAACCAGTACCCGGAGTCAAACACAGCATAGGTAAAGAATATAAACTTGCTGCACCGAGCGGGAGAATAACACACCAAACGGTGCCTTGACCCTGTAACATCTTCGAGAAACCCTCCTGGCCCTGACCCAGCTGAAGCCCAACCGGCTTGAGCCGTGCTTTGTATTTGGGAACCACGCGGAGGTTTCAGGCTGCCAGTTCCCCCTCCGAGCGATTTTCCTGGGAAATCGCAGACCCTGGGAATGCAGAAAGTCCTGGGATTTCAGGAAATAACAGGCAATATAATCACTAAATGACCTGGCTTTAAGCAAGCGACAGTGCTACAGGCTGTAAACCTACCCCAGCCGCCAGCAGCGCAGAGCACAAGGATCCCGAGAGCCACGTAGAGTTTTCCCATCTCCTCTGAGCCCCGAGTGTGGGGGCCTGCTTGGACCAGCCCCGCCGTGAGTGACGGAGAGCAGCTCTGGGGTGGCCGGAGGTTTTGAGCGATCGGGTGTACGGCTGGAGGAAGCACTGGCTCGTCACTGAGTTTTGAGTCACGGAGTGCCCCCGCCTGCTCTGCCTCCAGTTTCTCATGGTTTTTTTTCTCTCTCAGCTCAGACAAGGACCTAATAAACCCTGGCAGCACGTACACGGCACTGGTGACCTACAGCCCTGGGGCTGGTAACAGGCTCTTTTCCATAGGCTCTTTCGCCTGGGTTTAATTCCTTGCAAACCTTGCTCACTCCCTCCTTTTATTAACTCTTGCATGAAAGGCAGCCCGGGTTTTAAATCCAGCCTGAGCTGCCTCTGAGTTCAAGGATTTAAGGGAAAATAGAGCAAATATGTACAGATATGAAAGTGTGGGTTCTCAGCTCCCCTCCCCAGAGCGCTGGTGCAAATGGGAATATCTCTGCTGAAATGGAGCTGGGAGCTGAGTGAGATCCAGCCAAGAATTGGACCTGGTAAAACCAGCAGTTTGGGTATAAATCTGGGCATGGCAAGGGGAGAGAAGTTCAGCCTTGGGTCAGACAATTTGGATCTGATTTTCTTCTCACTCGTATTGTTTTTTCCCCTCTGTGTCCTCAGAAATTGCTTCTGTACTGAGCATGTACAGGGAGTCAGATCTGCACAAGAATTGTCCCCACTGAAATGCTGGAGCTGCTTGTGGGTGCCTCCCGAAGGGGTTTTATAAACCTCTTGTTCCCCTGCGATACCGAGGTCCTTCTTGGGGATGGGGAAACTGAGGCACCCAAAATATGGGCTGGGAGGCAAATGGGAGAGAAGGGCTGTTTCCCTGGAGCCCTGGGCTGCTCCCTCCCACCTGGTGACAGGGGTTGGGGACAGTAACGACACAACCCTGGGTCAGGACGATCCAACATGCAGAAATGCCGGGCAGCAGAAAATGAGCTCGCGTGGGTGCCAGGAGCTGCAGCCGCAGCCTGGCAGTGCTGGCAGCCACGGGGCAATGAGCCAAGCGCGGTGTGAGACCCACAGCCCCGCGCCGGGAGAGATGGGGAGAACGGCATCCCAGGGCCGTGCGGCTCTCAACGAGAGGTGATGGCGTTGGTGAGGGTGAGACGGAGATGGGGACTCAGCCTCAGGAGCCGGGGACTTTTCTTGGCTTTAAAAGAAGAAGGTTTGATGAGTCTTTGCTTCCCCACTTGGCCCCGTGTCCCTGCGGGGTGCTGCTGCCCTCCCATGGCTGCATGGGCTCCGCTCAGCGAGGGATCGTTTTCCTCCTGGGATCCACCTCCCTCCCCAAGACTTGTTAATGAGGCTTTGGTAAAGGGGACCAGGAGAAGCCCATCGACCCTCATGCAGTGTCAAAAAGGGCAGCACCTTGGCTGGCCTGTCAGTACAAACCCCAGACCTGCTTTCTGGGGGGCTCTACGTCTCACCTTGCTCCAGATCCTGGAGCCATCTCTCACTGCAGAGCCCATTAGCCAGTTTTAGGGCATCCAAATTCCTACTTTTCCTGCACGGGTCCTCTCTCCCTGCCAGAAAATGCTGCCTGTGTGGCCTTTTCCTGTTGTGCAGGGTTTTCTGGCCATGTGGCAGCCTGTCTGTGTACCCTGTACCTGTGAGCATGTCTGATGCTTCATGGAAGGGATGATGAATTTGTCTAAGTTTCCACAGAGAAATGTGGGAGCCCTGCTTGGCTCTGCACACCCCACAGATCCGTCCTGCCATCGATCTCGCCAGCTCTCTTCACTGGGGGACTCGTCCTGCCATGCCACTGGTCGCTCAAACCAGCAAGTGCTGCAGCTCCAAAGGGACAGACAGCCCTGTGAGTCCTGAAACTTCCTGCGCAGCATAAATGGGGATACACCAGCCCGTGCTTCCAGCATGGTGCAAAAACTTTGAAGAAGGAAGAAGTCACAAAATTAAGTATTTGATCTGCCTGCACCTGCCTGGGCTCTTGTCCTGCCTGAGAACAAGGATGGCATGAACTCAATTCAGCACATTTAGACTCAATTTCCCTGCAAGAAGGTGCTGCTTGTCCTGAAAACATCGCCATGATGTTAACTCCGGGCACTGTGTAACAGATAATGGGATGCTCTGGGTATTGAAATCCCTGTTTGGATTAAGGCAAGAAGCAGGCAGGGGTGTTTGAGAGCTGGGCGGTCCCATGGTCCCGGCTGCCTCTTCACCGCAGGCTGTGACCCAGGAGCGATGGGTGCAGCAGCCTGAAGTGTGCTTGGGCATGCGGGGAGAGGAGAGCCTGGAGTTGGAGCAAGCAGAGCCTGGAGCTGGAGCCAGCAGAGGGAGCAGAAACTCCTCCAGCCGGGGAGAGGAGCTCCCACCCGTGCTGGGGCACCGAGGATGCTCTGGTTGCCCATGGGGACTTTTCCTGGCCCTCAGGTTAAACACGAGCAGACGCTCTTGTTCGATCAGGGCTTTCCACCTCCCTCCCCGCAAGCACTTCTGCTGCAAACTGCCCTCGCAGACCGGGCAGCCCTTCAGGGAGAGAAACGCCACGTGCAAAACAAGGAGGAAAAAGCAACAAGTAAACCCCAAACCAAACAGTTTTTGAGCCCCTGAAGTCACAGCAGTAGAACAGGGACACAGGTCCCAGCCACCTAAAAGGAAAACCAATTAACACTCTCTCTACCAAGCCACCCTCCGTCCTCAGCCAGCCAGCTTCATGCTCCTGCCTTTAGCTGCAATTTATCAATTCTCATTTAGGTTTATTAAAATCCCCTTCGGGGACTGGGCAAAGAAAGCGAGCCAAGATGCACACAGATAAATCAGGATAAGGTCCCCACATCGTGGCTCGAGAGTGATCTCCTGTTCTATGCCATCCAGACACGTTTCCAGGCAAACACCAACGGGGAAAGCCGGGACATGGCAGTTCCACAGGCACAGCCCTGGGACGGCAAGGGTCAGGACTCAGCCGGACACGGCTGGATGCCCTGACTTGTGCTTTCACTCTGGGAGCTTACACAGACAAGGAGAGGGGAGCGATGATGAACCTTCCCCTGGGATTCTCTTGGTGGGGGTGAGGGGGCTGAGGGAGAGGGTCTGGGGTGCTCCAGTGATGCTGCTGTCGGACTCAGAGCCGGGGACAGGGCAGGGAAGGAGTACTGGGCAGAGATCAGGGTGCAGCATCGCAGGGCTCCCCTTTGAAGGGGCTAAAGGAGCGGGAGGGGGAGAAGAGGGAGACAAAGGTGCCCGGGGAGGAAACCCGCAGCTGGAGGAAGACAAGGATGCAGAGAGGGGCATGGATCCAGCCCTCATCTGGAAGCCCAGGACAGGCACCACTGAGCAGAGCTGGGGGCGGACCAGGCTGGATTGGGCCAGTCCTGCTCTAAGGAGTGGGTGGCACAGAGCAGCAACCGGCGATCGGCGAGGGCAGCCCTGACCTGAGGCTCACGGGGGCCTGTGGGGTGGGGGGACAGGGACCTGCCAGCCGTCCAGGACGAACACCGGCCCTGCGGGCTGGTTTGGGGAGCAGGTGGGGGTGGGAGGAAGGATGAGTTCGGTGCTGCTCCCCCGGGCCGTAGGGGTCAGCCCCTGCTTGGGGGTGGCACGGGGGTGGGTGCGGGCACCCGTGGCAGGGCAGAGGAGGGGTGCACACGCGTGGGGAAGGTGTGGGCAGCCTGGGTGACTGTGGAGGGGGAGGAAGGCGGTCCTGGGGGGAGGCTGGAAGGGGGTGGAGTTGCTGTTTTTCCTTTGAACACGGTGAAGACTTCAGCTCGGAAACTTGCATTTGTGGAGCTCCCAGCTGACAGGAATCAGCTCTGCCTCCTGCGGGAGAGCCCCCGGGGGAAGGGGCTGCGCTGCTCGGCTGCCCTGCACTTCAGGGCGGCAGCTTCGGGGCAGCAGCAAAGGCAGGAGGCATGGGGCCATCTTCGTTTGTCTTCCTCTCCCCCGTGCCCCCTTCGCCTTTTCTCTCTCTCTCTTGCTTGTTTGGGGGCTTGTGCTAACGCTGCCTGTGCCAGGAGGGACCCGGGAGCGAGCCATCCCTCGGCTGCACAAATTGACTTCCCACCTGCTCGCAGCCTCGAGTAAGTTTCCCCTCCATCCGAGGTGCTGCGAGAAGAAGAAAGGCAGGAGGTGGCTCGGAGCCCGCCAGCCCACGGTGCTGAGCCCTCGCATGTGAGGGGTGGGCAGGGGGACAGTGAGCTTTTCTCTTGCCTTCCCCGAAGATTTGGGATCACGCATAGACCATGAATGGATCCTTTTTCAACCAGACTCTCCTAGAGCAGGGAGCTTACCCCAACAGGACCCAGGGCTTGGGGATGCTCATGGCCTGCTGCAACGGGACCGGCTCGGTGCTGGCGACGGACGGCGGCTCCTCGGTCCTGGCACCCGACGAGAGGAGCCTTTACATCACACGGGTGGTGCAGATCGCTGTCCTCTGTGTCCTCTCCTTGACTGTGATGTTTGGCATTTTCTTTTTGGGCTGCAACTTGCTCATCAAGTCGGAGAGCATGATTAACTTTCTGGTGAAGGACCGAAGCCCTTCCAAGGATGTGGGAGCTGCAATCATGGGACTTTACTGAAGCCACCAGGCTTTTGTAGGCAAGTGAACTGTCTGGACCTGATGCTGAGATGCAGATTCCCATGTGTTTGGGGCAGCTGGGGGGGAGTGGAAAGGGAGGGAGGGGTCTTTTGATATGTCTGTGTCCATGGGAAAGCAAACCTGCGCTTCCCAGTCAACAAACTCTGTCGTGGTGAATGGGGAAATCTCCCCAGAGTTGTATGAAGTGCAATAAATGACCAGCACCATGTTGCATGCAGAAATGGCTTAAGTTTTGCATGAAACTTGCAGAAACAGTGATAATGTGCAGATCTGGACTCTTTTCTGCTGTTACCTTGGATACCACTACCTGGGATTTAGGGCTAAAAAAAAAAAAAAAAAAGGGAAAAAAAAAGGCAAATAACTCACTACAAGAAGAAAACAAACTAAAGGGAAAGCAAAATGCATGGCACAGACCACATCTTTGACCATGGGAAGTGCCGTGTGGGTCGTACAACAAAGTCTGCATGCTACAAAATGTGTCTGTTTGTTTGTATTTTGGACCTCAAGCATGCATCTTCTGGTAGAGTTTTGTAATGGGGAAAGCATGTTCTTCCTTATTTTTCTGAGCTATCCTGTTAAATAAACTGGTACTTTCTTCTTTCACACTATGCTGAAGGAAGAAAAGAACCCAGATAAATATAAAAACCCACTCCAACCCCAAAACAAAAGCATGCTTGTTTTTGTACACAACAGCCTTTTTTCCAAGTGCTATATTGTTACAGTCCTTGATGTTTTTGTAGTTTTTTGAAAACTGGTGAACATTCAGGAAAAAAAGAACCTGTTTCAAAAGAATTTTGTGTTGTCTTCATTTTCTTTCTCTGAGTTCAGGTATTTCAATCCTAGTTCCAGATATAATAATCTCACCTTCCAATTGAACTCTAGTTAGAGATATTTCTTTAAAGCAGAAACTACCATACATTTTTCACAGTCAAGCAGCAGTTACCACTAGCAAATAAATTCATCAGGAACTATGTATTTCAGGCTTGTGTTAAATACCTGCACAGTACTGAAGCAGAGATTCATCGAGATGCATTGAGTGCCTCTTGCAAAGCAAGATTTCAGCCTCTGAGTTAAAATCTCCAGCTCCTCTGATCCTGATGAGCTGTCAAAACTAAATTGTGTGTGAGGAGGAGGACTCCTGACCTTTGTTCAGTGATGGAATTACAGCTCTGTCTGTGGGTGTGAGATGGAAATAATTTGAGTTTTGTTGCGCCATTCCTGCTGGGTCCACTTCTGTAGTGGGAAAGCAATCCTGGATACTGGAGGAGCTGATGATCTGGATGTAAATCCAGAAGAACAGTTCTCTGCCGTTCCCAGAAGGAGGAACAAGATTAGAGTACGTTTTGTAATTAATCAATATTTGCTGAGCACCTTCTTCAAGGTTCCCACAGGGTATTGGTGGACTAAACCCAGTGCAGAGCAGGACTAGTGCAGCGCTGTCACTGGTTGCTCCCACTAACCTGTTGTCTGTAATGCCTTAAGAGCACAAAGACAACGTGGCAGCAGGACCAGAATTTGGGATTCAAAGCTCTGAAATGTCCCATTGGTGCCAGTGTGTCCTGGTTTCGGCTGGGATAGAGTTAATTTTCCTCCTAGTAGCAGGCGTAGTGCTGTGTTTTGGATTTAGTAGGAGAAGAATGTTGATAACACGCTGATGTTTTTAGTTGTTGCTAAGTACTGCTTATGCCAGTCAAGGACTTTTCAGCTTCCCATGCTCTGCCAGGTACACAAGAAACTGGGAAGGGGCACAGCCAGAATAGTTGATCCAAACTGACCAAAGGGCTGTTCCATACCATATGACGTCATGCGCAGTCTGAGTATATAAACTGGGGGGGGTTGACCGGGGAGCAGCGATTGCTGCTCGGGAACTGTCTGGGTGTCGGTCAGCGGGTGGTGAGCAATTGCATTGTGCATCACTTGCTTTGTATATCATTATTATTATTATCATTATTATACTGTTACTATTAGCATTACTATTTTACTTTATTTCAGTTATTACACTGTTCTTATCTCAACCCAGGAGTGTTTCTCACTCTTACTCCTCTGATTCTCTCCCCCATCCCATCGGGGTAGGGGGAGTGAGCAAGCGGCTGCGTGGTGCTTAGTTGCTGGCTGGGGCTAAACCACAACACAGTGAAACGGCTGAACAGGCAGGGCTCTGATTTTTATAAGCAGCTTGTAGGTCTGCATACCTGAGCAGCCTTCTCAGCCCAGAGGGTTTGCTGCCCTGCTGGCAGATGTACAAGTGGCTTCACACAGCAGTATGGAAGGGGATTTTGGTCCCTGCTGCTGAAGCGGGTGTTATGGCCATTGGTCTCTTTGCATATCAGTGCAAACCATTCCCCCTGTGGGAGCACAGCCTGGTCACAACATAAGCGTGAGATGCAAATAACCCCAATGCATACTATGACCCAGCTCTGCAAACACTCAGGAGTGTACTTGCATGTATAACCTAAATGTGGAACTGCATCTTCAGGTTGCTGTGCTATCAGAGGACAGTCCAGATGTACTCACTAAACTTCCATCCAGCTTCTGCTTTCAGCTGGCATTTGGTCCCTCTTGCCAATCCATCCACCAGCTCTGGCCCCAGCACAAGGGAGAACTCAGAGATGACGGAAGAAACCTTCCAGTGTTAGCAATGCAAGCGAGGCACAGGAAAAGTTGCTAATCCAAATGAAGTATCAAAATGACCTTAACTCTGACCTGCAGCAGTGCCCTGAGTGAAGAAGCTGGTCAAATTCTCTCAGCTGTCCCTACCTGCCTTGCTCTGCCAGGGGCCATGAGAGCTGGGGTGTGTGTTGAGGGGTCCTGCTGCCCAGTGGGGAAACACGGCTCTGCAATCCCACATAGCCACCAACTCGCCAAGTGTCTGCAGAGACCACATCCAGGAGTGGGGCATGGGAGTCTTCATCCCTTTTGTGCTGTGAAGTCATCCAGAGGAAAGAAGAAAAGTCAGCCACAGTAGGGTCATGTATAGATGAGGTGGAGGAGCAATGTAATGCCCCAGAAAGCAGAGCTGGGCACCTCCTGAGACAGATGGAGCTTGCTCAGGAGTCAGTTAGGAGAGGGAAGACTTTCCACATGGCCCTTTGGGGCAAGAGCCCAACTTTAGATTGGCTTATTTGTCCTCTAGTCATGCTGTGTCTCTTTCCTGACCATAAGGGCTATGTCTACATCACCAGGTCGTGTGGACCAAGAGAAGAGGGTCTGCAGAGTGAAGCAGTTGGTGGGCACCATCCACATTTGCCATACTACATGGCATGTGTCCCCATGTTCTGTCTTGCTTGCAGTGGGTTTAAGGCACTGGCACACAAGTCCCCATCTTCTTAGGTTAGATCAATTAAAGGCTGATTACCCCACTGAGAGAAGGAAATATTTGGGGAAAAGAAGATCTCTGGAGGATTGATGCCAGCACTGAGATGACAAGGGGAGGCCAGAAAGAAGGCAACAGAGGCCTGGCATGGTGAGGGAACCCCTTGGGTTAGAGATTTGGGGTCTAAAGACCCTCTTGAAGTGAAGTCATGGTTGCTGTTTTAAGTGCCCTGATTCCTTCCCCATCCTGTTCGCACAGAGCAGATGCCAGGACAGGTCATGCCTGGTGGAAGGGAGGGTGCTGAGGGCACCATGATGCTCCCCAGATCTCAGGGGAAGAGCTGCCATCTCAGACCCTGCAAACCCAGCTGCCCTGCCCCAGAGGCACGAGACCTCCAGCCAGAGGATAAGGTGGTTACTCCAGGGCTTGTGTAAGGAAAGCAGACCATAATGGCTCTTTCTGCTGCCTTTCCCCACAATAGCTATGTTTTTTCATCTCACGCCTACTCATTTAGCTTAAGCTTGCAAGTGGGTACTGGCTCCCAAGAAAATGTAAGCAGTTTTTTTTTGAATGAAGCTGGTTTAATGTTATTTTGTTTTAAATTTTTTTAATTGTTTCTTGTAGCACGTTAGCTTCCATAATGTCACTGGGGTGCCAGGAGCTGTACAAGTATGACTAAATATGGCTATAAAGTACAGCAGAGAGACAGGGAGAGAGGGGACATGCTTAGGTGGATCATCACATCAGTGGTAGTGTGAGGACCAGCCACTAAGCCTCATTTAAAATCATCTCCTAGCAGTGGAATACAAGATACCAATGCAATCCTGTGGGACTGGCCACACTGGTCTGAGCCACTGGTCCGTCTAGTCTGCATCCCTTCTCTGAAAACAATCATGATTTTAGGCAGTACATGGTCAGTCAAGTTATCTTACTAATGGGGAACTGCTTCTTGACCCCCACCAAGAGCAACCTGCACTGGACCTTCACAATCCTCCTTCAGGAACAGCTCGCTGTCTCTGGGCTGGTTGCCACTTGCCACGACTCTTCCAGCTAGAATTTCTTATTTCTAGACAGGCAGCAGGGAAACAGCAGAGAAAGGCAAGTGTGAGACCATTTCCCCCTGCTGAGCAGCCTGCCTGCAAAAAGAAATCCTCTACCTCTGTAATCACTGATTTTACAATTGGAGAAATAAAGAGGTGGCTTGACCCACCTGAGAAAACCCAGCAACCCTGGTCATCCAGTCCTGCCTGCGGTGGGGAAAAATCCAAGTCCCAAATGATACCCACCTCCTTCTCCCTGCCCTGGCAGTCTTAGCTGAGGACAATGAAAGAGTTAAACAAGATGAGACAGACAAACAGATTAGGGGGGAGGGAGGATCCCAACCTGAGCCCAGCACCAGCTGTACTGGAGCGCGTGCACCAAACATACACAGTATTTAATAATTCCTGAGAATTGCCATGGTAATGAAGTGCAGAGTCAGGTTGTTATGGTAACAGCTTTTTTTTTTTTAGGCAGGGAGGCATTACCCAGGTTGTAACCTCAATCCAGACTGAACATGTTTCTGAGAGACCAAAAAATAAAAAAGAAGTAAAATAAAATCAAATTAGGTAAGTAGCAGTTTCCTGTCTCTCGTCTGGCAGTTCTGGGCTTGTTCTGTAGGTAGGTGGAGGGAACCAGGTTGTTCCAGACACACATTGCCCTGAAAAGCCTGGGGAACGGCTGCAGTGGATCTCTGCGGGTCTGAAACCGAGTGCTGGTGGGGGTGAGGGGCTGGGCCCCTCTCATGGGGGGACCTGGGATGCTCCGCCACCACCGGGTTTCCCTGCCAGACTTCTGGCCTGGCTTCAGGCGTGTCCCCAGCTGGCTAACAGGAGGGACACGTGTCTCTGCAAGTGCATACACACAAGAAAGCAGTCATGGACAAGCCCTCATCCCAGGCGAGCCCACAGAAGGATGCTGCGATCCCTGTTCGCAGCCTGCCTACGGTTACCTGCATCCCAAGTGATGAAGGTCCTG